GGGGATGGTCACGTCGCAATCCCTTCTCCTCCATTCTCCTCTTGGGATCTTGGGCACGCACGTACATGCGCCCAGCATGAGTTTTAAGCCACCGGGTCCGGGACGTGAACCGTGGTCGACTACGTGGGAGTCCAGCGACATAGCCATTATGCTAACTGCTGGTTCCCACACCAGGCATTCTTGAAGACACCTTCATGGCTCCTGAGAACTAGCCTTTTCAGGGGAAACAGAGAAATGAAGATTTTTCTGCTGATAATTCAGCCTCCAGCTCACAAACTCGTGTGGAGAGGCAACGGAACAGGCCTTCTTGAAGACACCTTCATGGCTCCTGAGAACTAGCCATTTCAGGGGAAACCGAGAAATGAAGATTTTCCACTGATAATTCAGACTCCAGCCCCCAAACTTGTGTGGTAGGAAGAAAACTTTCCAGCCTTCTGTCTCTGTATCTGTCTTTGTCTCTCTGTACCTCTGTCTCTGTCTCAGTCTTCTCATTTTTTTGTAATTTTTCCTTTTAAAAAAATTTTAAAGCAAAGCATTTTTTGGGCTTTCTGGCCCCTCCTTTCTCTTTATCTTGGTAATAATCTCCTCTACCCCTCCCAACCCAGGAGAGGCAAGGGAACAGGTCTTCTTGAAGACACCTTCATGGTTCCTGAGAACTACTCATTTTCTAATTTTTGCTTTTTAAACTTTTTATTTTAATATTAATCTTTTAGGGTTTTTTTAGTTTTTTTAAATTTTTTCTTAGTTTTTTCTTCTCTTTTTCTCTGTTTCTTGTTTTTTTGTTGTTGTTGCTGCTGCTGCTGTTGTTTCTTTCTCTCTCTGTTTCCTTTTCTGCATGCTCCTCAACACTCAGATTGAACTTCAAGTTTGGAAAGAAACACACCATCCATCAGATGACTAGAAATCACCACAGGGCCACAAGACATATGGGAAAGCAGGAAAATACCTCTCCTCCAAGGGAAAAGAATAACTCTTTTTCATCCACAGACAGTTCAGTGGAAATCATGGAAATGTCTGATAAAGAATTTAGAACATTCATAATGGCAAAGCTAACAGAGATAGAAGGAAAGAGAGACAATGAACTGCAGAAGAGGCAGGAAAAAGAAGCTGATGAGTTCCAGGAGGTGAGGAAATTCATGCAAGATCTAAAAGAGGAATTATACACTTTACAAAAGAATCAGATAGAACTGTTAGGGATGAAGGCTATAATATAGGAAGTCAAAATCTCCCTTGAAAGTAGTAAAAGCAGATTAGATCATACAGAAAATAAAATCTCATATGTAGAAGAGAAAATGGCTGGCCTAGAAAAATCCACCACAAAGACTGAGAAAATGGCCCAAAAATTTGATAATAATACATGAGAAATACTAGATACCATCAAATGTCCAAACATCCAGATAATAGGCATCCCAGAAGGCAAAGAGACTCATAAGGGCATTGATAATCTATTCCATGAAATCCTGCAAGAAAACTTTCCTAACCTAGAGAGGCACTCAAAGATTCAATCCCAAGAAATACAGAGGACCCCAAATAGAACCAACCCAAGAAGATCTTCTCCAAGACACATTATAGC